TGCTGCTGCTGCTGCTGCTGCTGCTGCTGCAGCTGCTGCTGCTGCAGCCGCCTGGGTGCGGGTCTGCGTCTCTTCACAGCAGCAGCAGCAGTGCTGCCTCTGCTTCTGCTGCTGCTTATCTGCTGCAGCAGCATCTGCTGCTTCCGCTGTTGCTGCTGCAGCTGTTCCTGCAGCTGCTGTTGCTGCAGCAGTTGTTGTTGCTGCTGCTGCTGCTGCTGTGTAAACCACGAACTTGAAAAGGTGCTGCTGCTGTTGCTGCTGCTGTTCAGCCCCCCCGCTGCGACTGCCCGCTGCTGCTGCTGCAGCAGCTGCAGCAGCTGCTGCCGCATATAACTAGTTGGTGAGAGAGGAGAAGGAGCAGCAGCAGCTGCTGCTGCTGATGATGATTGCTGCAGCAGCTGCTGCTGCCGCTCCAAGGAGAGCTTTTGCTGCTGCACCTTCTTCTCTGCCTGTAAGATGCTGGATAGCTGCTGCGCAACCTGCTGCTGCTGCTGCTGCTGCTGCTGCTGCAGCTGGCTCGCCAGCTGCTGCCGCTGGTGATGCAGCTGCTGCAGCAGCAACGTTTTGCTGCTGATCGCACACAGCAGCTNGCCAGCTGCTGCCGCTGGTGATGCAGCTGCTGCAGCAGCAACGTTTTGCTGCTGATCGCACACAGCAGCTGCTCCTGTTCTTCCTGGGGGGTACCGCCCTGCTGCAGCAGCTGCTGCAGTACAGCTGGTGCCTGCTGCTGCAGCTGCTGCAGCTGCTGCAGCTGCTGCAGTTGCTGCAGCTGCTGCAGCACATGCATTTGTGCTGTTTGTCTCCCTATAATCTGATGCAAGACCTGCTGATCCAGCGACAATGACTGCTGCTGTTGCTGCTGCTGCTGCTGCTGCTGCTGTTGCTGCTGTTGCTGCTGCAGCTGCCGCAGCCATTGCTCTGCTGTTTGCTGCTGCTCCGCGTGCTTCTTTATCCGCTGCAGCAGCTCCTGCATTCGCGCAGGTGAGTGGTGCTGCTGCTGCTGCTGCAGCTGCTGCAGCAGCAGCGACAACCCCTCCATCTTGTCTGCAGCAGAACAGGCTGATGAGGTGTATTACACCTGCTGCTGCTGCTGCTGCTGCTGCTGCNCTGTTGTTATTGCAGGCGCAGCAGCAGCAGCTGCTGCAGCTCCGTTGCCGTGCTGCTGCTGCAGTGTCTCAACACTCACTGCCCCCCTTTCATATCTGCACATAGCTGCAGCAGCAGCAGCAGCAGCAGCAGCAACAACCGCGGCGGCGGCGGCGGCAGCAGCAGCAGCAGCAGCAATGGTCGGAGCGTGTAGTGCTGGTGGATACAAAAGACACCGAAATCGGCGTCTGAGTTGTCTTGCTGCTGTTGCTGCTGCTGTTCGTGTTGCTGCTGCTGTTGAGGCTGAAGCTGCTGCAGCCGCCGATGCAACACCAGCAGCAGCAGCAGCAGCAGCAGCAGCTGCTGCTGCTGCTGCTGCTGCTGCTGCTCGTGGAGCGGTGGTGATGTAGCTGTTGGTCGGCTGTCTACAGCAGCAGCAGCAGCAGCAGCAGCAGCAGCAGCA